GCTTGTGCAAAGAAGCTAAGTGTGCAGTAAGTAAGGCAAAGTTTAAAAGGTATGATGATTAGAAGTATGGAAAATGTTATGCAGTGTTAGCATAAGGTGGTTGAAGGAACTTTTAAAGAAAATACCAAATGAATGGAGGAGTAGTACTGTAGTTCCGATATTTAAAGGTAAATGAGACATACAGAAGTGTGAAAATTATAGAGGTATAAAGCTTATGAGTCATAGTATGAAAATTTGGGAAAAGGTAATAAATAAGAGAATAAGAAACGAGNGGTAAATGATAAGAGAGTAAGAAATGAAACATCGGTATCTAAAAACCAGTTTTGATTTATGCCTTGTAAATCAACAATGGAGCCATTATTTTGTGTCAGGCAACTAATAGAAAAGTTTAGGGAAAGGAAGAAAAAACTGTGTATGGTATTTATAGATTTGGAGAAATCGTATGACAGAGTAATTAGAGAGGTTTCAAAGTGAGCATTAATGAGAAAAGGTTTGCCGAAAAGGTACATTAATATAATAGAGGATATGTATGATAGCATTTGTACTAGAGTAAAAAATGTGGGAGGAGTAACAGAAGGTTGGAGAAAATATTGAGGAATTTAATCAAAGGTTAGAGATGTGGAGATCAACTCTTGAAGAAAATGGTTTAAGAATAAAAAAGAGTAAGACAGAGTATATAGAATACGAATTTGACTAAGGAGAACACGAGGTAGGTGAAATGAAGAAATCAGTGACAATAGGCGAGGACGTTATTGGAGAAGTGTAGAGTTTTAAGTATTAGGATCAATTGTGCAAAAGAGTGGTGGTATTGAAGTGGATGTAAAGCACAGGATTAAGTGCGGGTGGTTGAAGTGGATAGAAGCATCTGGCGTCTAATGCAATAAAAGAATTTCAATGAGGCTGAAAGATAAATTCTATAAGACTGTAATAAGACCAGCTATGGTGTTTGGTTCAGAGCGTTGGGTGGTTTATAAGAAAGTAAAGCAGAGATGAGAATACTTAGATGGATGAGTGGAGTGAATAAAAAAGACAGAATAAGAAACGAGCATATAAGAGGGAGTATAGGTGTAGCGTCAATCGTGGATAAGATAAGAGAAAATAGACTTAGATTGTTTGGTCATGTAATGAGGAGAGAAGAATCGGAAAATGTAAGAACAGTTATAGAAATGAATGTTGAAAGAAGAAAAGGTAGAGGAAGACCAAAAAAGAAACGGAGGAATGCTATTGAATGCGATATGAGGACAGCTATTGTGAGCGTAGATGATGTGGGAGATCGTGTCAAGTGGAAGTTTGGGATAAGGGTCCGAAGTAGTTGGGATTAAGGCGAGGAAGAAGAATAAGAAGAAGACCAGTTTGAGTTCAGAAAAAACATGGGTAAAAGGGAAGCAATACTGGCTTTAAAAAGAATTATCGAGAAAAGTATTAGAAATGATAAGCCTACATACATAGCTATGGTTATAGAAAAAGCGTTCGACAATGTCAACTGGGCAATAATGTTCAAGATGCTTAAAAAAGCGGATATATATTACGCTGAAAGGAGGCTACTCTTTAAACTATACCAAAAGGAAACAGCTGTTATACGATCTGGTGAAACTGAGGAAGAAGCATGCATAAGAAAAGGAGTAGGGCAGGGTCGTACTCTCTCGCCAAGCATATTCAAAGCATACATCCAGGAGTTAATTGACATATTAAGAGAAAAAATACATTTGGGTATAAAGATAAATGGCAGGAAAATCGATTTGCTACGGTTCGCAGACGATATAGCAGTCATAACTGAAAATGAAGAAGAATTGCAAAGGATGTTGATGTAAATGAAAAAGACTCTGCTCAATGAACTGAGCATGAAAATAAATACGAAAAGACCAAAGTTCTCGTATGCAGCAGAAGCAATAATATTACGATAATAATACATCTGCAAATTAACCAAGAAATAAAGCGAGTAGAAGAGTTCGCATACTTGGGAAGCATAGTAGGTAAGGATGGCAGAAGTAAAAAAGAAATAGTAAAGCGAATATGCCAAGCTAAGATAGCATTTAACAAAAAGTGAGGATTTTTTACTTCAAAAAAATATTTGCATACGCACCAGAATAAATCTCCTGAAGACATACGTATGGAGTATAATGCTGTATGGCAGCGAAACGTAGACGATTGCCAAAGAAGAGCAGAGGAAAATAGAAGCTTTCGAGATTTGGTGTTTCAGAAGAATGCTCAAAATAAGTTGGACGGCAGGGTAACAAAAGCGGAAGTATTAGAAAAAATTTCCGAGAGAAGATCTTTATGGAGCATTATTAAGAAAAGGAGAAATTAATGGATTGGACATGTATTGAGACATGGTGAGTTGTTAGGATTGATTATAGAAGGCTGCGTGGAAGGAAAAAATGCTAGGGGAAGACCACAAATGGAATATATGCAACAAATAATAGAGTACCAAGGGTATATTTCTTATGAATAGACAAAGAGGAATGTAAGGGAAGACAGGGAAGAGTGGAGAATTGCTACAAACCAATCTCAAGATTGAATACTAAAAAAGAAGAAGAAAAAAAAATATAAAAAAAGAGGAACAAATCATAATAGACGCAGGTCCCATTATAGAAAATCTTTTCTTAAATCCAATATGCACACAAAAGCTATTTAATCGAAATAAACGCAAGACACTATATACATATATCATACTTAATGATATTATATAGGGTGATTTTTTTATCATAACCCGCTCAATTACTTACAGAATAATAATAGTTTAAAATTTTTTTTTATTACTATCTTTAGTTACACATTATTCTTGAATTATTAACTATGTAATACTTTTTAAGTTCATCCCTTATGCCTGGTAAGGGTGTCAACTTTGTTTTTTTAAATGGTGACACATATTTTTAATTTAATAAAATGTTTGAGTTTTTAATTCAATAATAAATGGCATTTGAATTTTTAATAAAACTTAATTTGTTTATTAGATATTAGATTAACTTAGTCAACTACAAAAGGATATAAAGGTTAGTGCAAATATTTATTTTCATGCTTTACTTCTTAAAAATTCACGTAATTAACAAGAATAATAATAAGTGAGGTAGGCAAATTTTATTAATTGATGACTAAATATAGTTCGACCCCGAGATAACACACCATCTTTACCCTTTTTATATTTTAATGTACATACCTCATACCAATACCCACTGCTAATCATTTTTCTTTATTACATATATCATACTTAATGATATTATATATCATTTTACAAAATTATTTCTGTAATCACATTATTTAAACGTTCTTTTTTTTATTTATTCACACATTATTATGAAATTAATAGTTTCAAAATATTTTTGTTGATATATTTTAATGAAATTCTTGTTAAACATTTTAATTTTACATTGTAATTAAATAAATAATTTTACAATAATTTTTATAAATATTTATATCATAAAAATTTTAAAGTGGTTGAAAATAATCTTATTTTACAAGTAAGTTTTACAAAATAATGATTTTGTAGAATAATTATTAAATATTATCAATTAGAATTTGCTTTTTGGGTTGTATTTCTTATTCTTCACCTAATCAGACAACATAATATAAATTTACACTGTTATTTTAATACAAAAATATTAATAATTATAACTATAGTAAAGAAAAAATAAATTTAATAAATATATACGAAACAAAACATTAATTGCTTCAATGTAAAATTGTATAAATAATCCAATTAATAGTTAAACATTTTATTTAATTGCATGAAGCTATGAATATTTTCCCAATAGACTTTTTGACAAAAATATTTATTTGTACCATACCAATTCAATAATAAAAGTCTAATGTACTATTTATAGTTTTTTAGTAAGAAATAATGCCAATAATAATAAATAATGCCTTTGTGGGCCAGTAGTACACGTGATAAATAATAATAATATAAATAAAAAATATATTGTTACTATAAAAAACAATTATCTATCATCTGAATAAAATATTATGTAATATGGAAAAAAAAATGATTAACAACTTAAGGTCTTAAATGTATCTGAGACCTTAACAGACTAAGACCTTATTTAATTCACTGTGTATATAGTGTATCAAATAAAAATCAACGTTGTCTAATTTGTTAGGTTAAGAAATTATCGTATTGATAAGAGCATGTATATTATGATTTTATTGACTCAAAGAAATGTAAAATAATAGAAAAATTGAACTAAAACATTAAGTAGTGTTTGATCTATTAGTTCAGTTCAATCAACATTATTTTCAATAGTTTTCAAAATAAATTTAATATCATTATTGAATATTCTATTAGATAAAGATCCCAATATTGTATAATATACACTTACTTGTTTCTTGAGGAGCCGTATTGTTATCTAAATAAATAAAAAAACATTAAGTGAGCGATATTGTAACCTATTCTATGTTTATGTAAATTGCATTTTGTTTTCTAAATAATAAAAAATTAAAGTAAATATTTTTTGAAATTCAGGGAATGACAACAAAAGTATTCGTAAAAATTTTTACAACAATTATCAATTAATATCATCATCATAAATGAATAAATCTTAAATGCCATGTAATAATGTGTGTTTTTATATATTTAATTTCTCACTTTTTCCGTAGAAATTGAAAAAAACATTATATACATAAGTTGTATATTATACAACTTAAAATTTTTTATTTAAATACATACTCGTAATTCGAGAATTGTCATTTAAACGAAAAAACGCTGAATAATCTATTTTTAAACCTATTCTGTTTACATAGAATAGGTTTATTTTAAATGCTATATTAATTAATAACCTAAAACAATACATATTAAAACATAAATATGTTATTTTCAAATTTTACGTAGGGAAAATTAGCCTCTAACTTGAGGTTATATTAAGATCTGAATAACAATTAATTTGTATGTATGTAAATTCCATTTTCCAATCTTACCAGTATTTTCTGAAGTCGTATTGATATCTAAATAACAAATAAGTTAAAACAATATACTTATAGTAATAGTTATAAATCAAATTATTATTTACTTCTCATAGCTTCGGCCAAGGTATTAACTAAAAAAAAAATACATTAAACGTTTAATTTTATATTTTAATAACGTTTTTCATTCTTAAATTTTGATATATTATTGAAAATACTGACATCCTTAAGCTAGACCTGCCCTAAATGAATAGTATTATCGTAGGCAAACAAAAAATAAAAATTTATTGGTTTTACAACCATGTGATTATTTTTAATATTTGTCCATGCAAATCTAGACTGATTTTGATAGTTATGCTTCAAAATAACATTCGTAATCTAGTTTAACTTATCAGCACCAAATATTTGAAAACTCCACTCAATTTTAAACATTATATAAAATATCTCAAAAGTTTGATACTGTAAAAAAAGGTATTTTCAATTTTTTTTTTTTATTTAAAATTGCATTAACTTTATTTTTAAATTACTGATCTTAATAAAATTTTAACCGAATAACCTAAGGACAATAAATTTTCCTTTGGTATGCTTAGTATAACAATTCAATATTATTCCACAATGAGAATATGGCCGTGAAGTTTTTAGCTATGTCTAGGATAAGGAATAAGGTGAATGGACTGTATGTTTGAATGTAGAATGAATTTTACAAGAAATAATTATAAAAATTAAATGTATTATACAAGAAATATAAAATTGTATATACACCAATGTAGATAGGGGGACACTTAATACTAATGCCAAAAAGGCGCTGATATAAACAAATAATAATTATACAAGTGAGTTTTAGAAAGATGAACAAGCATTATACTTATCGGCTAATTGGAACAGCTGATGATAATGTTGAATATTGAAAGGATCAATTGAAGTCGAATGCAAGAAGCTGACCAACGTGTACAATGTGCTGTGAACGGTATTGTGATATATCTAAAAAAATATGTAGATCCAACGGCGATAAACTGATCACACAGGGTTCGACATTTGCAAAGGTGATATTTTCTTTTTACAGTAAAAACGAATACAAAAAAAACTACTGGCTCGCAAACGCCATAGAGCTTATAGCAAAAGAAGCGTTAAGATGGCGGCGACAACGGTGACATAGAGAGAAAACCGACAACAACTCAATGTAACACAACGATAACATGAATAATCAAAAACACATTTTCTTGATAGCATATTCGATTGATGTGTATCCAACAAAAGTTACATTTTAAACTTTCAGTAAATTAAGTCATATGATTTACATAATGTCTGACTTGATTCCTATTATTATAATAATTATTATTATTATTATAACCTGCTAACCAAGTATAATACTTGGTTAGTATGTACATTCAAATAAGACGTTAGTTGTTTGGCCATGATAAAAATTGGCGACAGACGAGTTGTTGAATAAAATAAGTTAAGATATTAATAATATAAATAAGACAAATTGATAGTATCGAAAACTAAGCCTGTAATACATTAGTTCGATGTCAGTAGCTCCGGGATACCAACGAGTAGAATTAGCATATCAGCATCTTCCTCTATGCTAATTAATATGTAATACGAATTAAGTAAATAAAAATACAACGTGTATAATATAAGTGCTAGAACATAGTAATAAATGTTTTTACAATTGACTTAAGAAATTAAATAAATAAAAAAATAACTAATTGATATCAACTTTTTGACCAATGTTCCAATTCTTATTAAGTACGGGGCGAGTTTAAAAGAGATCACCAACGTAAACCAAAAAATTATTTTCAACAAATATAATCGTTATTTTGCATATATTCGGACATTTCAATATTAAGCAACCAATAATCCATAGTCATTAGGATATACAACAATCTATAAACCGTGATCATTAATACAGGCATTATATAATTATATAGCTATCTATAATAATGTGGTTGTTTATATTGTATAGATTTGTAAGCCTTTATAATTTTAGCACCCCCTGCATTTTAGCTTTATTCGTACCACTGCTTTCTATGCTAAGGTTTTTCATTAGATCTTCATGAATAGCACACCAAAAGAAGTTTGATGTCTCTAGTATATTAACAATGCATTATAATCAGTGTTTTTGAATGAGATATAGGAAATAAAAAAATTAATGACTTTTTACAAAAAAATATAAAACTATTGGTTTTAAAATCAATTAACTAAAAAAAAATATTGCGGGAAAACTTTTCTTTTTTAATCAATCAAAATAATTTAAATACAATCAAAAAGCTTTAATATTCCATACGATGAAATTTCTCCAACACCCAGGAACATTTTTGAAAATTGAATTAAAGAATTTTAAAAAATGTATTATATTCACTTTAAAGTTCTTTAGTTAAATACTTACTCAAAACTGGAGAATAGTCATCTAAACATGTATTTAAACATTGAATAAGCTATTTTTAAACCTATTCTGTATACATAAAACAGGTTAAATAAAAATGAATAAAAATGCGATATTTATTAATATCGTAAAACAATACTTTTTATAACATAACATATGTTATTTTCAAATTTTACATAACAAAAATTAGCCTCTAATATGAAGTCATATTGAGATCTAAATAACAAATTATATGTATGTTAAATCCATTTTCGTCTCTTACCCATATTATCTTGAATCGCATTGATAACTAAATAAGAAATCAGTTAAAATAATATACTTATACTATAATTTAGTGTATATAAATCAATTAAATTATTATTTACTTCTTATAAGTTCAGTGAAGTTATAAGCTAAAAACAAATACATTTCATGTTAATTTTTTAGACAATGAACTTTCTTTTGGTAGTATAGTATGAAAATCCAATGAAGAATTATTGTTCCACTATGAGAAAATAGGCCATAAAATTAAACATTTTTTAAACAAAAAAATGTCTAAAAATAATTAGCCGATAACTTAAAACTACATGTATATTAATTCCATTTCCTCTTCTTACCATTATAAGGTGAATTCCTATTGATATCTAAATTATAAAAGAGTTAAAATAACAATTTTTAGTAATTTAGTATTTTAGTGGATAGAAATAAAATTATTATTTACTTCTCATAGCTTCGGCAAAGATATTTACTATAAAAAATACATTATATGTTTAATTTTATAAGTAAGAACTTATATATTCAAACTTTGTTGTATAAACGTAAATGTATAAACGTAATTTTATTGAATATCTCATGATAAACCTGACAAAAATATTTACCTAATTTAAACATGTTATAGAATATAAATATGTGCTATTTTACTCACAATCGTTAGATACTTCAAATGTGATAATTGATGTTCCTAAGAAATACAATATGTTACTTTTAAATATTTTAACTTAAAAAAATAACTATTATAACTTAAATATAAAATTTTGTATAGAACAATGTAAAATCTTGTGCTGTCTTTAAAATAGCAATGATAACAAGTTAAACCTAAAACATTATACTTAGTTATTATACTACAAATTAATTTTATAACGTTTAAACAGAGTAATCGTTTATGTTGAACAAACTCAATTTTAAATTCTTAACTAGGATTATTATGTATTATTATGATTACGAATACCCAATATCCATAATTATTTCCAAAATGCTACCTTTGTAGCAATAACAAAATAACGAATAATATGTCGTTCTTTTTTTATTACTAACGGTACTTATCAATATGCCGGTAAAACACTAACTAAGATAAGATAGTAATTAAAAAAAACATGTGGACATTAAATACATGTAACTGCTTCCAGCCACCATCTTACCTAGTCAACCATGTTACTATTGTATATCGCGTGAGTTATTGTCTGTAAATTTATGTGTCGTAGGTATTCATCGTGAATTTGTGATATGAAATACTACTCGTGTACCTTTTTAATTGTATATTTTAACATAAATGTCCACCACAGCTATGCCAACCATACGATTCCAGTCTGGGTCATACGGTAATTTGACTTTTTGTACGGTACACGGTCGGAATATCAAAATCATGGAAAAATACGGTAATTGGTTATACTATTAAATTGCTCAGAATAAATTACACAAAAATTTTCTGTTATTTATTATTTGTAACATACATGCCCTTACCTCATTAGATTAATGAATTATTGAGCAATTGAGTTAAAGAATATGAAATGTTATTTATTTTTATTAATAATAATTATTCATGTTATTTTTGATCCAGTTACATTGATAATAGGTATCATTTAAGTTAAAATTATAAATATTATATTTAATAAAATGCAGAAGGCAACGGGAAACCACTGCACTTAAATTTCCCCAGGACATACCAATCCAATTGGTATTAACCAACCAAACGGTTGTAAAAAAAAAAAAATTAATAAAATATAATGGCTACAACCAGTAATAATGTGATATTTTTTGTTCGTACGGTCCTATACAGTGATTTGAAGAAAATTACGCGGTCTGTGCTATATTAAATGTTGACAACGATGGTCTACCACCAACAACTAGTTGACCGATGACGGTTGACGTTTGATCTCTCGCCTTCTTCTTTACGTCGTTCTTTACGTTTTTGTTATGTTACCGCCGTCACAATCTCATGAACATTTATTATTAATTATTAATAATTTTTATTTTATCATTTTGTCGTTCTAATAAAATACTGAAACGCCTTTGACGTAAATAACATTAAAATTTGTGTTCAATTATTACTGTACTTGCTATATCGTAAATCGAATTCTTTGTTATCAGATCACTATAACCTCTAAATACATATAAATAGGCCGCGGTAAACAGATTACTGGCAAACAATTTTTTGTTATTTATACTTGTAGATATAGTGCTTTTTAGCCTCTCGAAAAATATTAAATATTTAATAATAACGGTTTGGAAATTTGATATATGATATTTCAATTTAAAAGCTATTGAGCATAATTAATATAAAAAAGCTATTAAAAACTCAAATCTGGGCAATTCAATTTTAATAATTAGTTATTATTTATACATACGTAAATCTAACGGGGTACTATTATAAAATAAATTAGATATTTGAAACGGTTTAATAAGCATTTATGTACATCTAATAATCCATAATAATATATTTTATTATTTATGGACTATTAGATGATATAGTAAAACAAAAAACAAATAAATTTATCTATCACTGCCTTCTATTTAAAATAATTTATAAAAATATTTAGAGACCAATAGTTTAGTCTTGTACTGTACTTCCACATTTTATGTAAAATTCCTATTAAAGATTCTTAGTATAGTATTAAAATAAATAATTAAATGAAAATTCGACGAAAAAATAACTACATAGAGTTAAAATTATTAAAACCTCACTTCATATCATAAAATGCAATTAATGTGTACAACAATCTATGTTTAATGATTTACATATATTTATTTTATGATTGTTAAAAAATTTAATTACTATGTATATTTCAACCAATAAAAACGCTATATATCAGCATAATCGATTGCATCCAACACATCGTTTCCTGGGATCGTGTATGATAAAAACTAAATTGTCAAAATTATGTACGACGTGTGCTATAGATGTGTAATTAATCAATGATATGGATAGTTCACGATAACGCAATCGTTTTTAATTTTAAATTTTACATATGAAAAATTAGCCTCTAATATGAAGTCATATTGAGATCTAAATAACATATTCTATATATGTTAATTCCATTTTACCCTCTTACCAGTATTATCTGAAGTCCTATTGTTAACTAAATAACAAATAAGTTAAAATAAAATATTTTTAGAATTATTCAATGCATATAAAACAATTAAATTATTATTTACTATTCAATTCTTCGACTAATTCATTAACTAAAAAAATTACAATTTATGATTAATTTTATATTTACAAAATTGTATATGCTTAAACGTAATTTTATTGAATATCTCACGATAAACTTGGACAAACAGTAATTTTTGTATGAAGATTTCTGCATATTAATAACATGTTTCATTCTTTGATATCAAAAAAGGTTCGGAAATTCTGATATCTTTAAATAGATCTTTACTTTAAGTTTATATAATAAACGTAACGTTGAAATAAATATTTCCCTCAAAACTAACTTTCTTTGTATCGTCTTTAAAATTAAGAAATGAAATACGATTTTTGTGTATAAATCGGATCTTAAGTTATATGAATTGTTTAAAAAAAAAATTTTCAATGACATATTTTATAAATTAGTGTTTTATCTATAGTTAAATGACGTGGAAAAGATATACTACTACTCGATAAAAAATCTTGGCGACCGTACAGCTGCCAATAAAGATACACGACACTTATTATGTAGGCCTAAAAAATTATCTTATATAAATAGTCCAATATTGCCTCTTAAGTTCTTACTTGTTTCTTGAAAAGTCCTATTGTTATCTAAATATCAAACAAGTTAAAATAAAATATTTTAGTAATATCCACTGAATAAATGGATAAATGAATTAACTTCAAAATAAGTTAACCAAATTAATATTTACTTATGTCACCTGAGTGCAAGTTACTTAATAAAAAAAAAAATTTACATTATATGTATAATATTTTCTATGATTAAACGTAATTTTTGAAGGAAGATTTATGCACATTAATAACATTTTTTCTTTCGCAGATTTGAATTATGTTTCAGAAATGCTAAAATAGAGTCTTTATTAAATTGTATACAATAAACTGCACATTGAATTAATTTTTTTAATTTATTTTTACAGTCATTAAAGTTAAGGAATAAAATACAATTTTTATATACAAATCGTAAAGTTATGTTATTTAAATTGTTACAAAAAAATTTCTTCCTTGAAAAATTTTTTACAAATTCGTGTCTATTATAAAGTCAAATGAAGAGAACCGTGAAACACAAATAGAGGTATATAAATAATTATTTTTATTACTATTCATCAAAATTTTCTTTTACATAGTATGCCTTAAAAAGTTCTAAACATATAGTACGTGACAATTTGGAAATATTTTTAGCTTCCTTGTGAAGCTGTAAAGATATAATTTTACTTTTTTCTCAGCTCTCAATTTCAAATATCAGTATTTTTTTACTTTTTCTCACTTTTTTTCCTAAAATTATCATAACTTTTTCAAAAATTTACAAATCAAAATCATTCTTTTTTAAATAGAAATCTTAGGTATTTCCCTTTTATTTCATATAATTTTTTTGAAATTCTGTTCCTTTACTTGGCCAGAAGAGGGTATTCAATATAGCAACTTTTACACAAAGGTCAATTTTTTCCACTTAAATTTTGATAATATTCCGGAAATACTGCGTCTTTTAAACATATATTAAATTAAAGGTTATGTTATGTACTGTAAGTTAAAAAAAAAATTCCCGACTCCTTATATTCTACGTGCAAATGACTGCCGAAGTTAAAAAAACATTTTTTTTATGTTCAATTTTTTTTTTGTTTACTTTAAAATACCTTATAAGGGTTTACCATAATAATAAGTTCAACAATTTTTTTTAAATTTATATGAATCTAACTTACATTAAATATAAATTTAAACATATTTTATTATTTTACCTCCTCAAAGTAAAAAAAGAGGAGGCAAAATTTTCAGAAAATTGAGAAATATTTAATTAGCTTATATAGTTATTTTTATCTATTTGTTTTGTATGGAGCTTGTATTGTATATTTTACAGTCTTATACGCTCGGGGTACAATGTTCGAATTCCGTCGGGCGAAATAACTTTTTCTGCATTTTTTTTCTTAACAATTTTTTGAGGTGTAAAAAAATTCAAGATGAATCATAATAAATATCATTAATAGGGTAAATTAGAGGTAACTACCCCCACCTCACCCACTCGACCAACGCACGGTTTTGTGTCAAAGGAGTGTTTTCGGGGAGTATTAAATCCTACGTAATCTAACTATGGAGTCCTAAAGAGGGAGGAGGTAATGAAAACAAAAATTAACTTTATGGGTAGGGTGAGGATAATACCCGACGTAAACTCACACAACTTGCCACACGCCTATAGATTGTATGTAATAAATGGATTATTATGCAGAAAAATAAAATAATTTTTCTGGGTAGTTACACGTTAAACCTTGAACGTACGTATAGTACAGTGTTGAGTCTGTGTGTTTGATGGGCCGCAAATATGCAAAAGTTTACTCCATTGACCCATAAGTACATTACTATATCGCTTATACTGTTAAACAAGCGCCGTTGCTTCACCCACTCACCAACAATCAGGTAGGGAATAGTTGTATCCAAATGCGGTTCTAAAATGAAACGTTAAATTGAATTTATGTACATTTTAAACATTTTTATGATAACATTACTATCATCAGTTACAAGACGCTTAAGTAAGCATATTTCCAACATAAAAGGTACCATCGTAAAGTAACAATAACTGTCGTACGTATTTTATGAGAAAAATGATACCACTGGTGGTGTTTCACGCCTACGCATTTTATACTTTACTATATAACCGGTTCAACATTTCTTATCCTGTCGCATTTGTTTTAAATTATCAATGACGTGCAGTTGTCTTTTTGAAAACTAAAAATTTATTATTAGTAAAATTAATAATTTAGACGTATAAATAAAACCACGTACTAGCAACCTCAATCGTCTTTTACACGAGGTATGTAGATTTCTCCAATTATAAACTTTTTTTATTTTAATAAATTTACTTTTTACGTCTTTTTAATTTTTAAATTCATTAAATTATTAAAAATAATTAATTAAATTTTATACTGAATTTTACTATATTAATTTAATTTTAATTTATGATTTATTTTTAATTTGTTAATTTCGTGTTTCATTTGTTAAATTGTTATTTTTTATTATTTATAAAGTAATCTTAAGTTGAGTCCAGGCAAATAGTTAGAATTTATTTATAAATATATTCTAGATTTAGTTATATTTATTTTAAATATAATATTGTAATGTATACAGTATTTACTCCTTTAATGAAAATATTCAACTTTTAATTTATATATTTATTTAATTATACAAATAAAATTTGTTCACTTAATTTTATAAGTAAAGATATTATTAGAAATTTATATACACCTATCAGAATTCGTGAAAAATCAATATATATATATACTTAGGTAAGCATATTTCTCTGGTAATCTGCCTAGTTTTTAGAATAACAAATAAACAAATGAATTTATTAAATCAAAACATCATCCCTTATAACTAAATTAGTTAAAAAAGTGTCAATAACTATACTCCTACCAATATCTTTATACTTTAGCCTATTATTTCAATACATAAATAATTTATTTTATTTTCGATTAAAGCTACTTCGCTTACATCTGATTTATCACATCAGGTGGCTAAGCATACATCAGCGAGGTTAGGTTAAAAAGATTACGTATGCAATTGATAGATACCCGTGATTTCACTGAGATCGATTCCGCATTAGAGCGGGGAGACGTTTGGTTTTACCGGAAAAACGTGAAACATTTCGCAAGCTATCGAGATTTTCCGCGTGCTGTTAAATCCAAACTGGTCGCCAGATTCGCTGAAATCGTAGGTAACCGTACGATCAAGTATAATCTCAAATTGGAGGCCTCAAACCATATACCGCGATCAGAAGTACCGCCCGAAGACCGTGCCTTCAAGGCACATGCTAGGGCATTACTATCCGATAAGGATATCGGGTATGAATTTGATGAAGATTTTGAGGTTATGCTCACCGAGAAAGACACGTACTCGGAGGGAGGTAGCGGCTTTACTCTATCACATATCGACGGCCTTATGCTCAGCGTATACAAGTATACGCCCCTCGCTGATTCATCATATATTCCGATTCCGCCCTAAATTATATTTTTATGAACACATTAAGCCCACATCGATATCGAACATTGTTGGGATCATAATCTATGAATATAGTAATGAAACTATACCGTCCTTTGTTCCAACATTGTGAACACATTGCTTTGAATTCATAAAAATTAACATCAGTGGAACAATGATCTTCATAAACTTGTTTGAGATTTGATTCATCTTGTTTGTACAGTATAATCATATTAGTTGTATCTCTTATCAGTTGTTAGAAATTCTAAAATACATCTGTGTTAGGTAAAAATTATCATCAACAACGTGTTGTCTTCGACAAAAATAATATATCATATGATTTTGTTTTTCACAAATTACATTATCGAATACAAACATTCTAATATTTCGAGAGGAGGCACGTCTTCACTACTGGTAAACATAGATAATTTTACCACATTATCCATAATCTCAACTAATTATTTACATTTATGCTGATCCGGGGTTTTCGTGTAAACGTATAGGTGCTCAAACCTCAAATCATTTTTCTCCGTTAATAATTTAGACATAATATTTGTTTTACCACAATTTTATGGTCCACATATTATAAATCTTATTGTGTTAGGTAACAGTGGTCAATGTTTAGACTCGATGGGGTCAGTGAGATTTATGACATTATCGACTGATGGATTATCATTATATGAAGTGTATAAAAAGTGCTGATAATAGGACACTGTAGAGTGATGATGATCATCACTCAATCATTAGATACATTGGTATCTAAAAACCAATTTGGATTTATGCCTGGTAAGTCAACAATGGAGCCATTATTTTGTGTGGGGCAACTAACAGAAAAGTTTAGGGGGAAAAAAAAGGTATGTATGATATTTATAGATTTGGAGAAAGCGTATGATAGAGTACCGAGAGAGGTTCTAAAGTGAGCATTAATGAGAAAAGGTTTGCCGAAAAGGTACATCGATATAATAAAAGATATGTATGATGGCACTCTTACCAGAGTTAAAAGTGTAGGAGGGGTAACAGAAGGTTTTAGGGTAAAAGTAGAAGTGCACTAGGGTTCTGCTTTAAGCCCTTACTTAATCTCTATAGTGATGGATGAAATTACTAGAGAAATACAAGGAGAGGTACCGTGGTGCATGTTGTTTGCTGACGATATAGTGTTAATAGGAGAAAATAGGGAAGAAATTAATCAAAGGCTAGAGGTGTCGAAATCAGCTCTTGAAAAAAAGGGTTTAAGTTTAAGTAGGATTAAGACAGAGTATATAGAATACGAATTTGATAAAGGAGAACACGAGGTTAGGTAGGTGAAATAAGGAGACCAGTGATAATAGGCGAGGACGTAATTGGAGAGGTGGAAAGTTCAAGGTATTTAGGATCAGTTGTGCAAAAGAGTGGTGGTATTGAAGTGGATGTAAAGCACAGGATTAAGTGCGGGTGGTTGAAGTGGAAAGAAGCATCTGGTGTCTTATACGATAAAAGAATTCCAATGAGACTGAAAGATAAATTCTACAAGACTGTAATAAGGTGAGCTATGATGTATTATTCAGAGTGTTGGGCGGTTGATAAGAAAGTAGAGCAGAGAATGTGTGTAGCAGAGATAACAATGCTTAGATTGATGAGTGGAATTACTAGAGAAGATAGGATAAGAAATCGGCATATAAAAGGGAGTATAGGTGTAGCGTCAATCGTGGATAAGATACTTAACCTTATTATATTTTATTTATTTAGTACAGAATTGAAAGCGGATAGTTTAAATAATAAAATACTATGTAAAAATAAAATGTATACGACAATGATCATTACTGTCTGGTGGTACCTAAGATGTTAATAATACATAGACAGCTTCGCAATTGTTTTCATGTACAGTTACATATGAAATTAAATAAGCGATTTAAGCGACCGCTTACAACCGGTCGGAGAGTGAACATATGAGGCAGCGGCGCTTGTTTAACAGTATATGCGATATAACAATGTACTTATGGGTCAGTGGAGTAAGTTTTTACATATGAGTGTGTGGCACATCAAACACGTGGACTCAGCACGTATTATACGTACGTTAAAAGATTAACGCGTACTTACCATTGAAAATTATTTTATTTTTCCGCATAATAATCCATTTATTACATACAATATATAGGCGTGCGGCAAGTTGTGTTAGTTTACGTCGGGTTTCATCCCAACTCCTCCATTAGGTTAAGTTTTTATTACCCTTCCTTCTTTCTGACATGATGAAGGATGTTTTCGTCGTTCCCCTTCCCATTGCATTAGGTTAGTTTACGTAGAATTTAATACCTCCGAATGCATTTTTTCACCACAAACTGATCAGTGTGAGAGTAGGTGAATCGATGGGGCCCAGCACTCTTTACTTTACCATACTAACATTCAATCAAAATATTTAAAGTATATTTTTGACTCTGATGAATATTTCTTGTATACCATTTATTCATAATTAACAACAAATTATCTTCTAAAAAGTTTTGTATCAAGCACTTCAATTTTTATACATGTTTGCCATAACACTAACAACTACTTTATAATTTTTTTATAATTTTGCCGTAAAAATTACAATTAAAATTAAATTATTAAATATCAATTTCATAATCGTTGAATTGCTATAAGATATTTATTTATATATTATACTTATTAATCATAGAACTACTAGGAATAATGAAAGTTATAGGAGTTAATTTTGCTTTTGGAATAATCCACCAATTCTTAAAATTAAACACTATCTACAGATTTGCATCGAAGCGATTCTTACGATAGTGATTTTAATCACTATCAGATATCATCTATACTTGTCCCAACTATGCCACTTCCACACTATGCCACAAACCCTCTGTACTACGGTTTATTTTTAAGTTTTATAAAGGCCAAAGTAGCCATTAACTTGAAGTAATATTAATTTAAAAAAAAAAATGTATATATTTATATTTTTACTTCTTACTATAATAATCTGAATTCGTAATGATATCTAAATAACAAATAAGTTACAATAAAATATTTTTAGTATAAACCAATGCACATAAGTCAATTAAATTATTATTTACAATCTATATTTTCGAACATTTCATCAACTAAAACAGATTAAATTTCATGATTAATTTTATATTTACAAAATTGTATATGCTTAAACGTAATTTTATGGAATATCCCATAATAAACCTGTCCAAAAAATATTTTTGTATGAAGATTTCTGCATATTAATAACATTTTTTCATTCTTAGATTTTGAAAAAGTTTCGGAAATTCTGACATCTTTAAATAGAGCTTTACTTAAAGTTTATATAATGAAATTGACGTTAAAATAAATATAGCCCTCAGAACTTACTTTCTTTGTACGGTATTTAAAGTCAAGGAATGAAATATGATTTTTGTGTACAAATCGGAAAGTTAAGTTATATGAATTGCTGCAAAAAAATATTTTCAAGGGCACGTTATTTAGAAATTGGTGTCTAATTCATAGTTAAATGACGTGTAAAAGGTATACTGCTACTCAATAAAAAAATTTCGAAAATACTTATAACTCTAAGTAGAACTTTAATTAAAATTTAATCAGAGTGCTCAGTAAATACAAATACAGGTCAATTATTATGATCAATTACAGTTAATTGTTATATATTTTTTGAATACATTTCACTTATTTTATACAGTCCACTCTCTACTTCTTTCTCCTGCAAGATTAGAGACATCAGGAAAGAACGTTAACTAACCCACGAATTGTCACCAAATTAAAATTTTTTCTGTATGTAAAAACTCAGAAATATTTTTTAAAATTTATTTTAAAGTTTTATGTAGTAAAAAATTAGCCTCTAACTTGAAGTTATATTAAGATTTTAATATCATATTCTATGTGTCTTAATTCCATTTCCCCTCCTTGTTATAATAATCTGATGTTATATTCTAATCTAAGTAATAAATAAGTAACAATAAAATATTTTTAGTATTATCTAATGGATATAACTTCAAAAGTATTTTTTTTTAAATGTTATAACCTTAGTAATATTGCAAGTGAACTTTTGTCAGCCTACAACACAACGTGTTTTGTTGCTTGTCTAATGACTAACTATGGTACAGTGGTCGCCGTTAACTAGGTGTCACACCTATCAGATATGATTACCGGACCATAGATAGAGTTTAATTTTAAATGAATTAATAATTTAATTTGAATTAATATATCGTTAAATATAAATCATTATAACACTTTGTAGTATATTAACCACAATTATGGTAATTTAAGTGGTTGATAGGTAAAACATACCGCATCCAGTGTCTAAATTAAGTGACAGGAATAAAATACACGAGAGTACTTAAGCTTATCGCATAATAAAATAAATATTTTACAGATCATATTCAATAGTAGTATTGCGTTAGTTATCGATACTATTACGTTAGTGGAAAACCTTTACGGCGCACTTCGTTGGTGAAATAAAAGACTTTACTGATCCATCAGACTAATTTCATGTTTATGGGAAAAATAATTCAGCCGACATAATGTCCCGCGTATGTCACGTATCTGAATTAGAAAGAAGACATCCTATGAAATGCGGCGACGTTGTGCCTGGTTAAAATAATTCAAAGGAAAGCTTTTTTAAGAGAGATAATTTAATTACAAAAGGAAAAGTTATTTCGTAAAAGTAATTTACTACATATGGGTAGGCGTTTAAAAAACGCAAACGATATTTCTGTGTTTCAACGGAATCCTTTGATATTACCGTCACATTGTCCGTTAACCAATATTTTTGGTAGGCACATATCAAATTAATGCATAGTGGCCCACAAGCGTTATAAGCGTCCGTTCGACTAAGTTGTTGGTCTATTAACGGTCGAAATCTCGCACGTTTTGCCGTTAATAGATGTGTTGTTTGTTTTCATCATAAGTTTCAAGTGGTATAACTGATCATCGACAATTCACCAAGGGACTGCCTATCTGCGGACTGAACTTTACTAGTCACAGATATAGATTTCTGTGATCCATTTTTGTTAAAAACAAGCTTGAGGAAAAAATTCACCTAAAGCCTACTAAAGCCTATGTGTGTATATTTATTTGTTTTGCAACACATGCTGTGCATTTTGAGTTGGTCAGCGATTTAAGTAACGATGCTTTTTTACGTGTTTTATATCAGTTTTTTGATAGACGCGGAAAAAGTAAAAATTTTTATTCCGAGAACGCATCAAGTTTATTTAGGTCAAATCGGCAACTTAAAGTGCACTATGAATTAAATCAAACAGAAGAGCATCAAATGAAAACTAATAACATGTTGTCTGAAAACGGTGTGGAGTGGAAGTTTATTCTAGCGCGCTCGTAGGACTATGGTGGCGTGTGGGAGGCTAGAGTAAAATCGATAAAATATTTATTGCCTAGGGTGTTGCATTTTTATTTTGTGAGTAGCTATTTACTCAGTGCTCCAATTTAGCTATTTATGTCAGTGGAAGAGTGCTCCAATAGTCGCCCATTAACACGTATATCCTTTGATCCAAGCGACTTGCCTTATCTCACTCCTGGTCATTTCCTCATTGTCTTTTTCTAACTGCCCTACCTGAACCGGATCAAACGAACATATCTAGTAACCGTTTAACACGTTGGACACGTGGATACTCCCAAAGTATATAGAAGTACTGGTGTTGGAAACGTTTAGCACAGTTGCAAAAAAGAACGAAATGGGCTTGAGAGAAAGTACCTAAGATAAAATTAAGCACCATTACGCTTTTCAAAGACGAGAAGGTTCTGCCTTTGAAGTGGCAGCATGGTTATGTCATAAATGTAGTATCAGGGAGGACGGCGTCATTTGGGTAGTCGATATTCAAACCACGAATGGTTGTTTTCGATGAGGGGTTAGTTTTTTGTGTACTTTGCCAATCGAAGAAAATTAATTTTGCAAGGTTTGTAATCATTCGTAAGAAATACATGTATTTATTTGTATAATAATTATTGTTTGTTTGATATTTTTATTTAATTCGATATAATATTTTATTAACGCGTTGTTTGTTTATTTATTACTATATATAAGAACGTATATATATATTTTTTTTTGTACATAAATACTGTTAACTACTAAATTATCAATAAATTTTAAAGACAATTCTTTAAGGCTGGCGGTACGTTACGGCGTACCGGTACGGTATAGCTTAGAGTTTTGTTAGTATTTTTGTTAGATAAGCAGATGGTCGGATTTAACTCCACGGACAAAATACCAGTCACCGAATAAATGTCGCACTAGGTGTATATACTAAAAATTTATTGTTTTGATTTAAAACATAATTGGCTCAGATGGCTATTTTTTAATTATATGTAAATACAGTCTACATTTACAACACATCCTTCAATCAGTAAATATTAAATGGTATGATATAATGTATGTTTGTATTTAATAAAATTCTTATTTTTTCTGTATAAATTGGAAATGTAATTGTTTTATGTATAATTCATAATTCTTTAGTCTAGTACTTACTTGGATCATGATAAATGATATTGACATCTAAAAAAATTTATAAACATTGAATTAGTGGTTTTCAAACCTATTCTATGTATAATATTTCTATTTTTTATGACATCACTATACATAGATACCTAGCTTTTACTGTCAGTTATAACTTTATATACTGATATGCTTTAACTATGATAATTTATAAGGCACGATTAGGCTGCATTAAGGAATTATGCCACTCGGTATACTCAATTTTGCCACCCCCTTTTTTTTGTTCACCAAAAAAATGTTCTCTATTTATCCAAAAATATAAATAAAATCTTCAACTCTATAATTTATTTAAGAAAATTATGTCATACATTTATGAGCATTTTTCTTTAACTTGTATTTTGCCACTCTACCGACAAAGCATCAACAATATTGAATTATTATCATACTGTTATCAGTTGTGAACAATATCAATTTTTCTTTAATAAAATTTAGAATACTTTTCTATACAATTTATTTAGTTTTAAAACTTTAGAAAAAACCCTTTGTTTAAAACACTTGAAATAAAGGCTTAAATTATGGTTTCTATGTTTATTTATAAGTAAGTAAACCTTGTAAATATTTTGTTAACAAATAATTGTAAGAGTTGTACATATTAATAATAAACTTTGTTTATTTATAGAGAAACATAATTACGCCTTAATTTAATTTATCCAAGAATAATTGTTGTTATAAACAAAATTTTACTGCAATTATTTCATGAAACATGGAAAAATTAGGTTTGATTTTTTCATGAAACCAACGGACTAGAGAAAATCATATATCATATGTATTACATTAGCTACATCCGACGGAAAATTTTTTGGAATACCACCTGAATACCAACCAGCAAATCTACACAAAGAAATTACAAACACCTCAAACTATGCCCAGGTAAGAAAAACATTAACTAAAAAATATGAAACCAGGAAAATATGGATAACCTTGACGGATGATATGTCAAAAATATATTTAGAAAAAAAACAAAACTTACAGTTTAATAATAATTACCTAGAGGAAATATTGGAAAAAAACAAATAATGCTGGGATCTGTATTTAGTAGCTCAAATCAAACGCTGGAAAAACTATAAGAAAAATTGCTTGAAAATAAACAAACTAAATCTGAAACATAAAATTTAGGAACAATTGCAAAAAAATTCATGATAGGTAAATTCAATGGTAGAAGCTCAAGTGCGAACCAGTGGATTGAAACTTTTAATAAGGAATGTAAACGCTTCCAAAACAATGAAGACAAAAAGAAAATTTTAATTTTAATACATCTTTTAAAATGCACTGGTATAGAGTGGTACAGATGCATGATAGTGAAATTTACAGTAGAGTCAAAATGGGACACATTGGAGAAAAATTTTTGTAATACGTCTGCCAACTTTAAAATGGCTTTAAATATCAAGCAGGTTCACTGCTTGAGTATGATTTAAAAAAAGAAAAATTATTACTTGAAGTAAGAAAATCAATTAATACTGGGACACACGTTATAGCATTTGGTTTACCAAATTATGTGGCTGATAAAATTTACAGAGAAATTTTGCAATGTACAGAAGATCTTTACAATGAAATAGGAAAACTGAAACATCTTGTTGGGAAGAATAAGTACGAAGAAAAAAAAAAATATTATATATTCTGACACAAAATTTAAACAAACTAAAGAGAAAAAACCATGTCGAATCTATGTTAACGAGAAAAATGGGAAACGTTAATCCTGAAGAAAATTTATGGTTTAAAAAAAAATAACCAAACACAGGGGGGCCGTAGTACAGTGGTGATGTGGTATAGTTGGATCAAGTATTAGGATATCTGACAGTGATTAAAATCACTATCATAAAAAACACTTCGATGCAAATCTGTAGATAGTGTTTAATTTAAAAAAATTGGTGAATTTATCCAAAAGCTACATGATCTCCTATTTCCTTATTTATATCCTGATTAAGATGAAGTATGTCGAATGAATATAAATCGAGAAATTTCACACAAAAATAGCATTCGGTAGCCATTTTCAAAATGTCATTCTAATTCCCCCCTGTGGGCTGGTTAAGGGTCATATTTATAAAAAAAAAAAAACAAATGATAAGTAAAGACATCAAACATCTATAAAAAAAATTATATTGATTTGTTCATTTTTGAAAAAATTATGGCAGTTTTAAGTAAAAAAATTGAAAAAATTTCAAAAATTAGCAATTTTAAAATTTGTAATTTTTTGGAGGTTCCCCATTTATGGGAAAAGAGGGAAAATTTTTTCAATTTTAAGGGTTATGTCTTCGACTAGATACGATTTGTAATTTTTTGACGTATCGTTGAAAAAATTCTGTTCGTTTAGAGCTGAGAAAAAGTGGTAAAAGACAAAAAATTAAAAAAAAAAAAACCAACATCATAGTAAAACTAATACCTTGTCAGCATCGCATCGAAGCTTGAAAGGTTACAAATATTATAAAAAGAAGAAAATCGAATTAATTGACCGCAAAAATTTGTAACTTTCAAGGCGCATTGAAAAATTAACAAGAAAAGGGTCGCCAACCTACTGGACGACACAATGTATTGTCGAACCACAGTAAGATTTTAAAGAGAAATTAAATTTTGTACATTAAAACAATTAAAAAAAAAAATAGAAAATTATTATAGATTGAAGTCGATGCCCGTTGAGTCCTTGATAGTAGATGTACACCAAAACCTCGTGACAGTTGTTACATAACCATAATAATGAGGGATGACCTTATACAAGGCCGTTGTCCGTATCTTATAAACTAGGGGAGTTGATTTTTGAAAGGAAAAATATACACGAGTCTATTGAAGATGAAACACTCAAAAAAAAAAATATAATGGTTAAGTTAAATTTAGGGGAATTTATTAAGTAAAAAAAAAAAAAAAAACCCAGCACAAGGGGGACGTGGATCTGCTCGCCGAGCATGAGTTCCACCGAGAACGCAACCGGTCCCTCGAACCCGAGGACCGGCTAGCGCTCAGGCGGATGACCATGCTCCGGTGGCGGACTCGCCTCTCGGAGGAAACGACGAGAGGCGAGTGGACCAGGTCCCTCATAGGACCCGATCGGCTGGACCGGTGGGTGGACCGGACTCACGGTGAAATGACTTATCGTCTCACCCAAGTGATGTCCGGCCACGGCTGCTTTAACAAGTACTTACACCGTATTCGTAAAGCAGCCTTGCCGACGTGTGACCACTGTTCGGATCCCCCGGGAGAGGCTGATAGCGCTTTGCACACCCTCTTCCGGTGCGAGGCGTGGGCCCAGGAACGGGACTCTTTGAAGTCTCGACTAGGGTCCACGTTCCGAGTCGGGTCCATGGTGGACCTGATGTTGAGGAGCCGGGAGGCGTGGAAGCTCGTCCAGGCGTTCTCCGAATCCATCTTGAAAAAGAAAGAGGAAGCTGAACGCCTGAGACGTGCCGCTCGGTACAGGAGAACCTAAGGCGCCGGCCTAAAACAGCGCCTTAGGTATTTTGTATTTAATGTTATGTATTATGAGTTATTTTTGCCCTCCTTGCATTGAACGGGGGAGGCCACACCACGTTGTGAATCAGCCCGAAAATAATCAAGAGCTGATTCACAACGTGGTGGTGTGAGTTTTAAAGGCGGCGTGGGCCACCCTGAAGTAATACCTAACGGTAGTTCCAGGGCGGTCCACAACCAAGCCGATCGGAGAAAAATAAAAGGGGACGTGGCAAAGTTGGATCAAGTATAAAGATATCTGACAGTGATTAAAACCACTATCAAAAAAAAAACGCTTCGATGCAAATCTTTAGATAATGTTTAATTTTAAAAAATTGGTGTATTATTCCAAAAGCTACATAATCTGCTAGTTCCTTATTAATATCCTAATTAAGATAAAGTATGTGGAATGAAAAAGGGATTAATAAAAAATATTATTTCTCATAAAAAAATTGTGTTGATCAATACACTTTTCAATAAGTTATAGCATTATAAAGTTAAATATGTAAAAAATAAAATCAAGAATTTTCACACAAAAATAGCATTTAGTAGCCATTTTCACCATAAGACAAGTCCAGAGGTTAAATTTTTTTTTTCCATAATAAAGTATATTACATTACATTTAATTTAAGATATATATAAAAGTGTCAGACCTTCTGGAACACTTTCAAAAGTTAAGTTGAAAAAGTAATTTTTTTGTAAAAAAGTTACGGCAGTTTTTAGTAAAAAAAATTTCGAAAATTAGCGATTTTTAAATTTGTAATTTTTTTGGAGGTTTACCCCATGTACGGGAACGAGGGAAATTTTTTCAATTTTTGAGGGTAATGTCTTCGACTAGATATGATTTGTGATCTTCTGACGTATCGTTGAAAAAATTCTGTTCGTTGAGAGCTGAGAAATAGTGCTAACAGACAAAAAATTAAAAAAAAAAAACCAACATCATAGTAAAACTAATACCTTGTCAGCTTCGCATCAAAGCTAAAATTAAGTTAATACGAGGCAAAAAACCGAACGGTCAAAACCTCGTCTACAAATTAAAGGGGAACAGAGAGAAGAAAAAAAACAGCTATTAATAAAAAAAATAATTACACCTACACTTTTACAATGAGAGAATACCATGAACATCTTCGGGTACCCACCGGCTATTAATCGCGACATTACCACTAAGCACAGTGGGTATACGTCCCAAGTAAATGACTGATTTTAGGCAGTTACACTTAGCTTGCAAGACGTTGGGACAACCCGGAATAAAATGCACTACGTCACAACATTGTACTAATGATATATAATATGCATCACCCAATGTACCTATATACCTATATATAAAAAAAATCACAAAAAATATATATATAACATGACAGGTGGTATTGTAACACGCCTGCCATGTTGAGGGATCAAAACAATATATAAAAAAATAAATAGGGACACCTACAAAAAATTTAATATAAAAAACTCGCCACGCGTGTTTATGGCACAGTACACTAATAATAATAAAAAAAAAAAATTGTGGCTCAAAACATAAAAATAAAAAAATACATTACCAGCCCTGTAGGGCTAAAAAACCGGAGGCAGGTTCAGCCGTCGCCAATAAAAAAAAAATTACATATTGAAATAATTGCAATATGTATATTACTATAATTATTATAGTAGCGGACATTAACGAAAAATATATATAAATAAATTACAATATTGCAGCGCACACAACAACAACAAAAAACTCACACTAAAAATTAGCGTACCAGTTCCGACGATGGCTAATTTCCGACCACACGTCCGGCGTTTGACCCGGCGGTCCATTGGCGACAACACGGCTAGCCTTTAGAGTAGGGGTCAAAAAAAAACTAAATACCCAGTGCCGGAAATTACTAAGAACAATTTAAATCATAAAGCGACAATGTATGCGGTGAGCAGTGCAAATGACGTTCAAGATAGGAAAGGAGCGGGGTGAATGTACACACAAATGCCGTCCATGAACCGGTCTGAAGTAGTACACAGTTGACTATCTCTCACGCGCACAAACAAATCACAACACCTTATCATGATTATTTAACTGATAAACGCCGTCGCAGTACGCATTCGGCTCAACACAAATATATATATATACAAATAGACAAAAAAATAAATAGATACTTTTTGTCACGTTACAATATAAAACAAAAAAGCAGTTTTGAAAACTGTTAATAACTCGGAATTGGAAATTAAACTAAATGAGAAGAATAAAAAAAACTAGAGGTGCCACCATTAATAAAAATCAAGTTACTATTAAATGATGCTTTAAATATTTCTGGAATTTATGATTCAGATTTAAATGTGTCATTAATTAATGCAAACTTACTAAAAATACAGCAAAAATCATATACAAGATATATACAATTAATTAACTTAATGGTGAAAAGAAAACAAAAGGTATGGTAACACTAAAAATAAAAATCTGTAATATAGAAAATATTATGGATATATTTATAATAGATAATGAAAATTTTAACTATAATTTTCTAATTGGTCTGGATTGTATTAAACAATTTAAATTAATGCAAAATGAAGAATTAAAAATTATTCAATGTAACGACCAAGTAAAAAAGAAGGAAACGTCAAATAATGAGGATGAAAAAAACAATAATTACAAATATATGATACTTCAAATTTAACAAATATCAATATTCCTGATGTACTAGGTGAAGAAAGATTTTTGTACATTCCGAGAAATAAGAAACCAAACATATAAATAAACGTGAAATAAACTTCAATAAACATATAGATACAAATAGATTTTAAATGGTAATAAACCATTTAGATGTATTCCAAAAATCCGAAATTGATAAGTTATTAGAAAAATACAAACTAGTTGGTTTGAAAAAAGACAAATATGATGTCGGTATTGTAGGACATTTTGAAGTTCACATTGACTTAATGGTAGATAAATACTCTTATAAACGTCCGTACAGATGCACAGAAGAAGAAAAATAGAAAATCAAATATCAAAATTGTTAGAGAAGAATTTAATTGAAGAATCTTACAGTCCATTCACTGCCCCAGTAACTCTGGCATATAAAAAAGAAAAGGGAGAAAAAACAAGGTTATGTATAGATTTTAGATAATTAAACAAAATTGTGATCCCTCAATCAAAACCATTCCTGTTGATTGAAAATTTATTGGTTAAACTGTAAAATGTAAATATTATTCTACTCTAGATATAATTTCAGAATTTTGGTCAATTCCTTTAAAAATTCAAGATAAATACAAAACTGCATTTGTAACACAACAAAGTCATTTCCAATGGACATGTCTCCCATTTGGATTAAAGATAGCACCAGCAATTTTCCAAAGAATATTGAGCAACATCATAAGAAAATACTAACTTTTTAGTTTTGTAGTAAATTTTATAGATGACACATTAGTTTTTTCAAAAACTTTTGAAGAACATATACTAAATCTATCAAGACTGCTGGAAGCAATTCAAACAGAAGGTTTTAGACTCAAATTTTCGAAATGTTTTTTTACAAGTATTTAGGTCACATAATAAAAAACAATTCAATCAGACCTCTAGAAGATTATTTAACTGCTGTAAAAAAACTTTCCAATTCCAGAACAAAAAAAACATACGCCAATTCTTAGAAAAAATTAATTTTCATCATAAATTTATACCACACAGTGCAATTATTTTAAACCCATTACACAATCTATTGTGAAAAAATGTGAAATTTATATGGTCCTCAGAATGTCAGTAATAGTTTGATAAAGTAAAGACATTGCTATGGTCACATCCACTTCTAAATATTTTTAATCCAGAACTTCCAACAAACATTTACATAGATGCAAGGAGTGGGAGCAGTGTTGAAGCAAGAAGATAAAAATGGGGGTACAGTAAGCTGGTTGCACATTTTTCAAAAAAACTAACTGAAGCTCAAAAAAAGAAGAAGGCAATATACCTGGAGTACCTGGCAATAAAAGAATCAATCAAATATTGGCAGCACTGTCTTATGGGAAAAGAATTTATAGTCCACTCAGATCATAAACCATTAGAAAATATAAACATTAAGACAAGGGCTGATGAGGAACTAAGGGATTTGATGTATTATTTATCACAATATAATTTCAAAATCAACTATAACCCAGGAAAATCAAACTAAGTAGCAGATTGTCTAAGCCGAAATCCAGTTTTAGAACTGTATAGAAATACTGATAATTAAAAGTGGTTAATTTAATAAATATAGAAGATATAAAGAATGACCAACACACAAATTTAGATTTACAAAATGGAAAACATATTAAAGAATGAAATTTACTATAACAAGAATAAAAGAAGAGAAAAAATTATACTATCAGAACAACTTAGCAAAACTCTAATAAAAAATGTCCACAATACTTACTGCCACATTTGGAGAACACAGATAACAAATAAAATAACACATACAAATTCTACACAGCAAACAATATAATCAATAACATTAAAAAAATTTGTAATGAATGTGAAGTCTATATAAAAAATAAGTCAAGGAGGAAGCCTAAATATGGTTTAATTTCACATTTAGGTCCAGCAACACGCACATTTGAAATTATATCAATTGATACCATTGAAGGTTTTGAAGGATTACATTAACAAAAAAATATCTGCATCTCTGCAAATTGTTGACCATTTGAAAATGTTTTATTATCATATCAAAAAACCAAAACTCCAGTGATTTTATAAAACTAATAAAAAATGCGACACAAAACTACAATATTGATATGATTTTACCGGACCAATACTCTGGTATTAATTCCAAAGAATTTAAAAAATTTCTTAAGAAGGAGAATATAAGAATGGTTATCACTGCTGTGGATGCACTATTTTCAAATGGACTTAATGAAAGGCTAAATCAAACTGTAGTTAATAAAATAAGATGTAAAATAAATAAAAATGATAAGAAAATAGCATGGACTACTATTGCACAGAAGTACGTAGAAAAATATAATAAAACGGAACACACAGTCACGACGTTTGCTTCAAATTATCTTCTAGAAGGCGAAAATATTAATGTTCTACCACTTGAATTAAAGTCCATTTGTACAAAAGAAGTCCTGAAAAGAGACAGGAACTAGCTCTTAAAAACACACAATTATAATTAAAAAAATTTTAAATAATATTATATTGTACTAATAAAAATTTATAATCGTTTCAATGAAAAGTGCCTTAAAGAAGTATAACGAAAAAAATTAATACCTTTTGAGCTATGCATTTAAGCTAAAAGTCATTCCGTATAAATCTTTACACAATTCGTTTTTACAATATAGAAATATCGTAAAAAAATTAACAAAATAAATACCAAGATAATACCCTAAATATATTTTACTAATATATATTAGTCAAAAATTTAAATCAATCAGTATTTTATATTTATTGTGAATTTCTACACCAATACAAAAGGAACGTAAAATATACTTTTTTATAGTTAAATCGACAATTTTGGGATGAAAACGTTATATTTATAGCGTTTCAAACAAAATTTTTAGCCTAACTTATTCGATAAACAAAACACAAAAATTCCATACTTTATTAATAAGGTAAAAAAATTATTTTTTATGTTAAAATAGCATATTTATATTTGAAAATATTATGTAGGACATAGTGGCCTCCAGTACCTTTTTTGGACTGTCTACGATACTGAATTAAGCGGGAAATTTTAATAACATTTTTTTAATAAAAAATTTAACTATACATAATATACAAAATTAATTTTTCAGTCTTACACTAAAAATAAATAGTTATAAAATTTATCATTATATTTCCAAATATTATTAATATACCTGCTTGATTGTCAAGGTTATCGTATACAAAATTGCATAAAGGACAACGGTAGCTTCTCTTATTAAATTTCCAAGTATCTATACAACCTTTGCAAAATTTATGTGTACAGACTCCTATTGATGTATCTGGATTATTATCCCAACAGACGGAACATGTCTCTAAAAAATTGATATTTTAGTTTGACACCATAACACATTTTTCTATACAAAATTATGAAGTATAAAAAATCATTTCGAAATTTTAACACTTCGATAACTTAGCTACAAAATGCCTCTTTTGCCAAATGATTACTTAACTTATTCATAATATATGTTCATTAAAAACCAAATTAATAATTAATAATGTAAAATGTTAATTAAGTTTTAACTTACGAACTGCATTTTCGCCATCGCCTTGAATATCATAAGATTTGTAAATACATAAATAAATATAAATAATATATATCAAACTGATATATCATGTAAGATATAAATCAGATTAATAATAGACAGTACTGTTTGATGATGTATGTACATCCTTAAAACCGTGATGACATATATATATATATATATGTATCTGCGCATGCACAAAAAAAAAACTTGTATAACGTTAATAAATGAACGGATTGAAATATTTTTTTATTATATCACGAAAAAAATAGGTCTCATGAAAATTTCAAACATTAAGTTTTAAAACGTTGGAGTCAGTGAGGATTTTCGTCAAAAACAGTCGAATTTATAAAATGCTTGCGGGCGAGTAGCAAAAATTGTTTGACCTTCGCCAACAATTTTCAAGGATTTTCGTGGCCAAGTAATTTTGTAGAAAAAAATATTTTCAAAATCAGAGCACGCTAAGTAATTTTCCCAGAACTACGTTTTATTCTTATAGTAGAGCATGTTTACTATACCATTCAAATTTTAAATTATTATATTTTTTTGCTTCTTATTAATATAAGTTCTTTATTAATTTAGACAAAATTATCACTTGAAATCTTTTTAGAAATATAGAGTTATTTAAGTTTTAACTTACGTTCTACATTTTGATTATCGGCTGGGATACCATATGCTTTCAACATAAATAAATTAATATACATATATAATATTTACTTTATTTATATCATCATATTGTCCAAAAATTGATTGATTTAATAATTAGATTTAATAAGAAATATGAAATTCATATTTCTAAATACTTTTACGTATAAAACCAAATTATTCAACCGTTTTATAAGTGAGTAGACATTATCACCTATGACGCTTGTTCACTAAATTTTTGTATTCTGAATTACGAATATCACATTCCATTAACATCATATTAGTGCGTACAATTTTTCATAGTAAAAGAAAAATTCAATAATAACAGGCAGGTGCCTGTGAACAGCGTCGATCTTGTTCAGGACAAGGCTCAGTCCACTCCCCTCCTGCTGCATCCAGGCGGAGACTGTGCTGAGCGCGCAGTTCGTACGAGATCCAGCCTCTTCGGAGTGACTAGATAATTAAGAATAAGGAATGAACATATAAGAGGGAGTATAGGTGTAACGTCAATCGTAGATAAGATGAGAGAAAATAGACGGCTGATGTGAGCATATTGATGTGGGTCACTGTGTCAAGTGGAAGTTTAGGATAAGGATGGTCGACCCTAAGTAATTAAGGATTAAGGCGAGGAAAATGAAAAAGAAATGATCATAAATTCAGTGTGTATAATATTTTTAATGAACAAAAATTGAACATTTCAATAATCATAAATATGATTTGATATTAATGTTTTAGATTTAACTTACATTTTTCTTTTTGGTTATCGGCTGGGATCTCATTTGCTTACAAAACACATAAACAATTATATATACAGAGTAAATTTTAAATCACTCGTTACATTCAAAAAAAATAAAATAATGGGAAAATTGTTTTTTTTTCAGTTACGTAAATTTCTTGATTTCTTATCATTAAATTACAATTAAAAATCATCCTTTATAACTCATAGGAATGATATCAGTACATTTTTCATAGGGTAACATAGATAATTTACTATTTTATTATTATTTAATGATGTAATGAAGAAAATTACTGATTCATAACAATTTATAGACCAGTACTACAAAAGGTATTCTCATTTGTAGACCATGGTATTGATACCCCTATTAAAAATGTTCAAAATCGTAGCACACTAAGTAATTTTTCCAGAAATGCGTTTCATTCCTTGTAATAGAAAAAGAAAAAAAGAAATAATAAGATATACTAATATACAGGGTGGCCCACCACTCACTGACAACTTAAATAACTTTTGATCCAATTAATATTTTTAGCTGATTTTTTTTTTTAAATAATAGTTATACGTTAGGTCTATAGCTATATGTCAATAATTAATTTTTTTACATTTTATTAAAAAAATTAATTATTTTTAAATTTTAAATAAAATGTAAAAAAAATTGTGAAAATTTGAATTTTCATGTATTATTTTACGGTATTAAACATTGAAATACGTATTGAGAAAAGGACAGTTGAATGAGAGTGATAAGTAATAATTGCCTTATCTAATTTCTTATCAAGGTATTAATGCCAAGTTTGTAATGTATACACATTATCATCATATGTATACACAGTAATCATGAAAAGATAGCGTTTTCTTCTGTCCTTTTCTCAATACGTATTTCAATGTTTAATACCGTAAAATAATACATGAAAATTCAAATTTTCACAAACTTCAAAACGCTACAGAATATTTACTATTGAATATTAATAAGATATTTTTTTACTAACATTTTTCTTAAATTTTACTCTACAAAATAGCTATCTTAGATTTTTTTTTTACATTTTATTTAAAATTTAAAAATAATTAATTTTTTTAATAAAATGTAAAAAAATTAATTATTGACATATAGCTATAGACCTAACGTATAACTATTATTTAAAAAAAAAAATCAGCTAAAAATATTAATTGGATCAAAAGTTATTTAAGTTGTCAGTGAGTGGTGGGCCACTCTGTATATATTTTTTAAAATATATTTTCTTTTTCTGTACAATTTATTCTATCACATTTTGATATGTTGTGGTACTTATGAGGATTAAGAATTGTTAGGCAATTAGTATTATTTTCAAATGATAACATACATAATTTATTTAACATTTAATGATGAAATATGAAAAAACCTAGCAAATAACAACTTTTGGGTCAGTATTACGAAGATATTCTCATTTTTAATCTTTGCTGAATAGAAGAATACGGCCGAGAAATGACTAAGACTAAAAAATAATCTTCACCTACTCATCACCACGGGGCATATTTTTAATTTTTTAATAACTTCTCAAATAATGTTACAAAAGATGTTATCAACCAGTCATTTTATGAATTAAATTATTATCATTAAAAAAGCTAGTCAATTACGTAAGTTATCATTTGAAAAAATAAAGGTGACACTCCTATAATTTATAAGGCATAATTCTAAAAGTTAATTATTAGATAATAAATCAAGAAATATACTTAAATAAAAACGACAAAACTTTTTTCAATACTGTATTTATTTTGAGAATAATCGAGTGGTATATATATATACAATATTAAATATATATTTTTATACATTTATAAATGTATAAGAATATATTTTCTTTTACTGTTGTATACATTCTATGCAATATGTATATTTATATCTTGTTCACTATATAGACACAAGTTAACTAAAATAAAAAGTAATGGTTAAATGGAGAGTAGTTGTGCCGCATCACATTTGAAAACGAGCTACAAAAAAGCGACTAGGATCGTAATTATGATAATAATGATCAGTGTTACATACTTCTATTTTCCGATCTAAACATGCTACAGAGGTAGGTAACCTTCTCTCACATGTTAGACAGTCAAAGATCGTTCTTGGCTAGGTAAATGATGGACGGAACGGGTATTACGGCCGGTTTGCACTAGTGATCAGACACCTCCAATGAGAAAATAACAAGAAAAGTCTCAATGGCACCCTGAGGATCGAACTTGGGACCCTGTGTACCAAAACAGATGTTTCTACCTATCGACCGATCTTATCAAAATTAAAATTAAAAAAAGCAATGACGAAACATGATTATCAAGGTCAAGAAGACATTAAAAAAGTGGTACATGCTTTTCTAGATACCCTCAGTTAATCTTTTAAAGATTTGTTCAAATCTAAAAATAAAACTACACAAAACTTTTTATTTTTTAAGTAGATATACTGTTCACTTATAGACATTTTTGTGGGAGTATGTAATAAAAAAAACATTTTTTTTTACTTCATGTTTACTATTATGTTATTCATTAATTGAATATTTACATCGCCAGATTTAATAAGTTCTTAATTAATTTAGACAAAATTATCACTTGGATTCTTTTTAAAAATAAAGAGTTATTTAAGTTTTAACTTACGTTCTTCATTTTGACTATCGGCTGGGATACCATATGCTTTCAACATACATAAATAAGTATATATATATTATTTACTTTATTTATATTATCATATTGTCCAAAAATTGTTTGATTTTATAATTAGATTTAATAAGAAATATGAAATTCATATTTCTAAATACTTTTAAGGTATAAAACTGTAACAGATTATTCGTCCTTCACCAACATTAGCATTTCAATACCACACTAGTACCTGATCAGCACAAACGTCCCTACGACCCGCAAAGGGTATGCGGCACGCGCGAGTGTAAACAAAACCGATGATATTCTTCTTCATTAAATAAATATATAACGACAGTTAGTCGACATTTTACCATTTTAAATCCTAACGTTTGCCAAGCGGTTTGGTTTATGCGGATGTTTTGATTATTCTCGGCGCGCTTAAGATAATAATTATATAAAGGCTATGCGAATTTGAAGTTAATTTTGAGAGGTGACGACTTGGGCCACGCAACGGATTGTGGAGTCGCCACCCTCATGGCTCCCTTGCAAAAAGGAAATCGGGTCACCAACCACTTAGGCGAGGTTCTTGATCATAAAAAGAACAACACCCGGACTATAAGTGGATTTAAAAAAAAATAAAAAATAATAAGAAAACCAATAATATGCACTTTGATGAAACAAAGTGGATTAAAAAAAATTATATATACATATACTAAAATATAAAGTGTTGTTGCAGACTATAATACGCTGATACCTTGTAAATATAACAAATAGTTTTATTTGATGTCACCAGTGGTGGACATACTTTAGTATGTCGAAGACCGTTACCTTAAAACTAGAGAGAATTATTTAAAGGAAAAAAAAAATAAGATACACGTGAATATTGAAGATATTCACGCAATAAAAAGATTTTTGTTGATTAAGAAAATTAAGGGGATTTTATTAAATTATTACAATTAAGTTAATAGTGGACAAAACCCGAAGGCAAAAACCACTCTACAAATGAAGGGACAAAAGAGAAAAAAAAACAATTATTAAGACAAAAAAAAATTTTAACCTACAACTTTTAAATATTACACATGAAGTGTCTTCCGCATCGGAACAAGTCCGTTTACTCCGGACGCGGCAGATAATTTCTGTAATCTGGCCGGCCGGAATGTACTTGGGCACTGCGGGAATAATATATATATATATATGTATTAAATATACATGACACACCACTGACCAATAACCTTATAAACAGCAATGCTTAAGTCCATATATAGCACATAACAAAATAAATTTACAACAGAAAAACACTCAATACATTATATTAAATAAAAATAAAAAAACAATACACGACACCCAGTCCCGGATGGGACTCATCCTAAGATGGGTATCTCGGCCCCGAAAATAGCCGACGCCTGGTTAAATCAATACATGATTATTACACGACGAACACGAAAAAAAACTATTATTGGCTGCACGCACATAGCCACTATATACCACAACGGTGGTTCAAAAGGAAGAGAGCACAAATTTTTCCTACACACCGGGCGAGACATAACGACGACGACGATTACGTTTGGGAGAGGGTATCAGCTTAACAATTTACAAAATATAAAACAGATAAAAATATGAACAATATTAAAATTATACAGGTATTGACAGTGGTGGCCAGTGTATGTGTTATATAGGAAACGATTATTAAACTGATAAAGAATATTGTGTGTATAGCGTTCACCATGACAGCAACAGTACAGTTTTCTGATTACACGCCCATTAGCAAAGCAAAACAGTAAATCTATCTATATCATAAAATTCATATTTTGTCACGTTACAGATTTATTATTTATATAGCAACTTGTTACGAACAAATTTGGAATGTTATAGACTGGTAGTAGCACCCACAAATAGAGTAAAAAAAATTAATAAATTACAAAGTAAAATTATATAATATCAAATGAATTAGATTTGATATTATATAAATACTTGACAATAAATACTTTTAAAATATTAGAAATGAATGATTTTAATTTTTTATAGAGATAAAGATGGTTAAGTTACTTTTTATTTGATTAAGAGATTGTTTTTCAATTTTTGAGGGTAATATCTACAACTAAATACGAATTGTAATCATTTGACGTATTGTTGAAAAAAGTAGGTTAAATGATGGAAAAATAAATCGTGGCCACAAAAAAAAAAACGCATTAAAATAATATTAACATGAATAAGAAATTTCTTCTCGCGAGGGGAGACTATAGTGATGGGATCCTAGATACTTATTGAAGTTATTGTATCTAAATGAGATAAAATCAAATAATTTGAAGATTTTTTTCTAACTCAATAAAAATGCAAAGTATTAATTGCCACAGGAAATTTCGAAACTCGTACCCTAAGCATGAAAGGCACAAGTGTTACCGACTTGGTAACTGTTCGTCACTTTCCTCCCATGATAAAATTAACAATTTAAGCTAATTCAAATTTAAAAATTACTTTTTCGACTTTAAAAAAGTAAAAAATTTAAAGAAGTTTAATTTCTTATGTCTTATGAACTTTATTCTATGTCAATAAAATTATGAAGTATTCATGAAAGTCAGTGTATTCCCCTTGTAAGATATTTCAAAATAAAATAAAATACAAAACCCAGAACTTTAACACCAAAATTGCATAATTTTAAACTACAGCAGGTATTTGCGCATAGAAGATAAATTGTCGGGTCAATTTTTTTTTTCACATTATAGTACATGACTACGCTATAATTTTATATTATTTTAAAGGTCACAGTATTTCCGGAACATTTTCAAAAATTAAGCTGAAAAAACTAAATTTTGTAAAAAGGTATTTTAAATCCTCTCCTAAGAGCAGAATAAGTGTTAGATTTTCAAAAAAAAAAAATGATATCAAATGAAAGAAATTACCTAAGGTTTCAATATAAAAAATAAATTTTTTTTTTTCAATTTATAGTGCGTAATATTAGCTTTGATTTGACATATGTTTAGAGGACGCAGTATTTCCGGAACATTTTCAAAAGTTAAGTTGAAAAAGTTGACTTTTGTAATAAAGTTTCTATCCCCCCCTGCGAGCAGGTTAAGTGTTAAATTTTCAAAAAAGATATATAAAATGAAAGGAAAATATCAAAGGTTTCAATATAAAAATAAAATTATGTTGATTTGTTAATTTTTGAAAAAGTTATAATAGTTTTAAGAAAAAAAATGTCAAAAATTACTGATTTATAAAATTGTAATTTTTTTGGAAATTTCCCCCATTTACGGGGAACGAGGAAAATTTTTTCAATTTTTGAGGGTAATGTCTTCAACTAGATACGATTTGTGATCTTTTGACGTATCGTTGAGAAAAATCATTCCTGTGAGAGTTGAGAAAAAGTAGTAACAGACACAAAAAAAAAAAATAAACACATCATGGTAAAATTAATACCTTCTCAGCTTCGCATCGAAGCTAACAATTAATAAATATATTTTAATTCAAAAAATTATACTTATTAATAATTATAATAAAATTTAATATGTTAAATGTTTTTTCTGCAGTATATAAATTTATGGTGTATTCAAATTGTGACGTCACTAGATATTTTTTTCGAGTAGACAAAATATTTTATAATAATTTATTTTTAATAATCATCTAAAAATACATTATTTAGTAGATAATTCGGTTATTGAATGAATTTCAAAGGGCGTTACCCTACCAGCCTCCTAGGGTCGCTACTTAGGGAAATAATTCTTAGCATTATTTTTATAAATTTTTAATTATGTAAAACCCTCCACAGTATGGGGAGCTATATAAGTACGGGGAAAATATTATCGAAATGTTTAATAACGAAATATAATGCTTCTGACCAAATACAGACCGTAGAACGACGGAAAGTACAGTGCTGGACCATATAATGGCGGAAAAACAAATCGCAGACCGTAAAATAACGGAACGTAAAATCGTGGAGAGTGAAGAGCCGTATCGTAGAATCTTGGACTGTAATTTTACGGAAAAATATCATTGGTTCCACAAATTTGACTAATCGAAATCGTTATATAGCACATATTAAATATTTCATGACAATTGTTATTTCTTCCATTAAATATTGGATTAAATAGAGTCTTGTGATAATCAATTTTTGTAATATTAAAATTTATTATTACTACAATATATTTTATTTACTATCACTTAAATATACTGTATATAAAATTCTTCGTGAATTATAAAAAATATTTAGTGGGAAATTATTATTTTTTTACAAATAGGAGTTAAGAATACATTTTTGTAATTACTAGGATCCATCATAAATTTAGTACGCTAATTCTTAAGTTAAGAACATATTATAAGCTAACATAATTGATTTTATAGTTAAATAAAGTCTCTTTAATTCAATTGAAAATTAAACTATTTTTTAAGATTGTCATTTTTCGATGCGCTCATTTATTGGAAACGACATATAAGATCGTTTCCATTGAGTAAAACAAAAACAGCAGCCCCAGGCGAAATTATACATAGCAATGTATGTGGACCAGTAGAGCAAAATTCATTAGATGGTAAGTGTTATTTTGTATAGTTCAAAGACGACTATACAAGTTATCGTTGCGTATATTTTTTGTCAAATAAATCAGGGGTAAAAGAGAAATTACAAATGTGTTTTAATTTGATTAAAAATCAAAGAGATATATCAGTAAATTTTTACGAAGCGTCAATGGTTTATAGTACATAAATTCAGATATTAGAACACTTATATAAAAATTAGGTATTCATCATCAAACAAGTGCACCAAGTACACTTATACAAAATGGGTCAGCTGAACGTGATATGCGCATTATTTTTGAAGCTACGATAACATTAATTTCTGTAAAAATCTGCCAAAAAGTTTGTGGGTTGAAGCGGTTAATACAGTTGTTGATATATTAAATTGTACAGGTAAACCGGACCAGTAGGATATAACACCTTACGAATTATAATTCGATAAAACTCCACAAATAACACTTTAATAATATTTGGCAGTGAAGTTTATGTACATGTGCTAAAAGAAAACGGCGAAAGTAAGATAAAAAAAGCAGAAAAGGTATATTTGT